GAAATGGAAGGTGCGGCATTGCTGCTTCAAGCCATCGGCCAGGGCTCTAGGCCATCATAGACATGTGTATATGCTTTGTAGGGGGGTTCGTTGTCTTTATCTGGGATCCAATTACCCTGAGCTCCTGTTGCAGATCGTATGTGATGAAGCCAAAATTTAGGCCAACCCAACTTCCCCCCCATCAATATGCCTTGGCAAACGATCCCCATCAAAGATTCGCCATGCACAGCCGGGATCATAGCGGGAAGCCCCACGCTTACTAAAACTAGCTCAGTAACCCGCGCACTAAAATCAGGGTGCAGCGGTCATTTTATTAGCACCAGCGACTGCCCGGTCATCAAGATAGGCCCCCACGTTAGCATTCATCTCGTCCCATGATAGAGTGCTATCCCCGTCTCCAGCCTTGAGTTTTTTCTCGCCAGAGTCAGTATCTTGAGATGACACGTATAGTGTCTACATGAGGTGGCGATGTGTCGCCGCTTAACATTGGGGAACGGAAAGCGCCTTTGAGTATCTGTCCTTGTCCATGCTCCATACATGCTGCAGAGAGTCCGGGAGGCAAATTTGCTCTTTGTCATTGGTCAAACGAGCACCCCAAATTAGTCTCCCGACTTGCGCTAATGAAGAATGAATAGCGTAGACTCGAGGAGAGTACGGCAGGCTTGGAATGGTATTGACCTTCGAACTTGCGAGCGAGGTCATCAGCGATTACTCGGGTGAAAATCTACCCGTGCATTGTATGTACGCGTGGAGATTCGCTTTTCTGTAATGGAGGGGTGACTACCTCCGCATCCTATCATTGGCCCTCAGCCTGAACCTAAATCAAGCTTGCCATTTGCCATTCTCGTATCTCATCCCCTGTTAAGAGGTGAGGCTGTTCCATCTCTTACTGTACATACAGGCCCAGAACACGTGTCGCGCTTCTACGTCAGAAGGTCTCTACAGGGCGTCTGGGATGGTGTGATTCAAAAGGTGAGTGTTGGTGACCATTGCAAACTTTGCTGATCAAATAGTCAGAAAATCAGACTTGGAATAGCAGCTCGTCTTCTCGCAACGTCACATAGACTGAGCTAACTCAACAAACGGGGCTCGACTTGAACAACTGCAACAATTTAGCAAAGAGAAATGTACCCGGGAGACTGTTAGAGTATGGTCAGCGCGAACTGATGCGAGGGCAAGGAAGGCATTTGTGTGTTGGTGGGATGCGATGTCAGCTTATTGGCAGCAATCAGACCAATATTCGGGCACTAACTAGATTAGATAAAGCAAATTGAATCGATTTAGAATCAGAAGCGCGATTAGCAGTTTAAAAAAAAAAGGCTCTAGTCTACACCAAGTGCAGGCATGTTGCTCCATATATAACGCGGATATTTGTGGGTTGTTCAAGCTTTCCAACGCATCTTACTCTACTCTGTACATTTGCTTATCCTACATACATACATTGATAAAGAATGGCCGTCCAGAATACCACGCCGCTCATGGACGATTGTTGTATCGCATGCTGCAAAGCTTGTGACTATGGCACTCATGATTACTGTGGCACTTGTCCTAAATGCCCTGCGCGTCAGAGGTAACATTTCAATCACGCTTACACGTGTTTTGATCGAGAATAACCTATAGGACTTAGGTACTACTAGCCGAATGGGAGTATCGTAGAGGTTTATAGACTCGTAAGAGTCAGCTAACTTTGTTCTACGGTCTATACGATCAGATGATTCTAGGATTGATATGAGATGCTACATTTGGAGCCAAAACTGAGTCAAAAATAGTAGTAAAAAAGCTGG